ATTGCAAACTGCTTCTAGAATGACTTAGTTGCGCCATATTTGTAGTGAAGCGAGGTAAAGGAGACAGAGGATTCCTTTATAAGGGACATTTAAGAGACAAATAGGGGAAGATTAAGGGAACCCTATGTAAACACGGTTATTCTGTCAGATTCACTAATGCAGTAGGTCTGTGCGGTGTTTAGTTATCCGGGGGCTGTTCACGGGCCCTGTGTGCGGTCGGACCGCACACAGCCTCGAAGCTCCGCCCACTTCGTCCCTACGTCAGCCTTCCGTCACCGCACACAGCGAACGCTGTGGCCGGTCGGGATTGGCCACAGCGAACCGTCCACCGCACGCAGCCGTGACGTCAGAACCGCCTACCCATCCCCTACCCCCACGCCTGCTGGACGCACCGCACACACCGCACGCAGCAGTGTGCGGTGCCCGTGAACACCCCTCGGAGCATTCTTTGAAAGTCGTGAATAGGGCCACCGAGTACCTAAAGCCGTGATATTCCCCCACAAAAACTTCTTTTAAATAACCGGGGATAGGTACATGAGCAGAGTAAATGCTATTACGAACGCCTATCACAATGCTGAGCGAATAGGAAAATCCATAGATGGAGAATTGTGCCGCGTTACGGGTGCTCGGGCGCACCCAATCCACCGTTACCCCAGCGGTGACCTTGACCCGCATCGTCTGTCTCGGCCAGTGGCGGCGGATTCGATTTTGGCGTGGGGGGGCAAGATCCCAGTCGAGATGATGTCATAGGCGGATCCTGAAAGGCGTTTTCGACGCTGTAGGGGACATACCCCCCCCAAACAAAGTCTAAAATCCAAAAACTCCTCGGATGACGATTCCTTACGGATCTTCTGCTGAACAGTATAAAGCAAAAAAATCCTGATAAAAGTGTTATTATTAGGAAACATAAGGTACGTTTTGTCTATTTCGGGCGATGCAGGGGCCAAGGGAGGGAGAGTAAATATTTGCTTTAAATGCCCGCTCCCTGGATCCGCCAGTGGACGATGTAACGCTTTTCGTATTGCTGTATTAGAAAAAAGGCTCCAATGGGAAAAGTTGTGCCATAACCCGATCGCATATTAGATGTTGAAGAACGGTTCCAAACCTTTTGAAGTAGGCGAGCGCTATTCTTCAATGAGGTAACTCGTTACCATTTCCTCTGTTCATTTGACGTTCGATTTCCTTTTAACCTTCCTTTAAAAAGTATTTCTGAGACAGATATCAACTGAAACTAGCTCACAGCGGGAGGAGACCGCTCAAACATTCAGAGACAGTCCGTTGCATCTAAACCTATTGGGACAGCGATCCGCCAGAAGCCCTCCCCAAGGCAGTAGTTCGCCAACTAAGCTCACCGAGACGGGCTGTCTCGATGGGTTTAAACAGTTAGCCTACAGCAAGGCTTAACTAAGGCCCAAATGCTCGTCAAGCTGGGAACGGAGGGCTGAGGTGAGGGAGCGTGGCGGTGGGCTGGGGTGAAGGAACGGTGGACTGGAACGAGAATCCAGAAGCTCTGGGTAGGGCGTTTCTTTATTAGGGCTTTAGGGTGCGCTGACTGCGGTAAGGTCCAAATTATCACACCAAATTTTGCCACATCTACCGATTCAGGCACTCGAGAATCAGCGGCCAGTGATATCTGCAAAGACGAAGCATTTCCAACCCAGCTTCAACCTGGTGTCAGGGTGCCTCAGCCTCACGTGGCTTTAATTACAGTTGCACATACCAAACGACCTCAGTGCAGCTAGTCTGTGACCGAAACCATTCGGAACAGACTTCAACAAAAAGTGAGACAAGGTTAGTGCTATCGTTAAGTGCCATTATAGACTTGGGCCCCATTGGCTTGACCCACTGTGGTAGTTATCGTACGCTGCGGGGCATACTCATTTTCCAAAATGCTCCAGATTTCGCTTTCGTGTTCATAGGCGGCGGAACGGGGAGGGCACCGGGGCACCGTGCCCCCCTTTGATTTTGGCATTTTAACGTTAGCCCTATGGGCGTTGCATGGAAAGAATGGGACCAAAACTCGGCAGGCCCCCACCCCTTAATTGAAGGTGCACCGCCGCTACTGTTCGTGTTTGATGCTCTTTATTCTATAGTCAGCCTTAACCTTCCAGGCGGTGGGGGGGGCAATTTTTTGCCCCCCCCCCCTTTAGTTTTTTTGATATATCTCGAGAACCGCTGCGCCGATCGTCACCAAACTTTCAGTACCCTCCCGGGAGCAGCTAGCGCACATGGTGACCAAAAATTTTTCCAAAGGCTATGATAGGTTGGCCGCTAATGACGTCAGAGTGACGTCATTTTTGCCATTTTCGACCCCAAAACAGGTTTCGCGGGAAGAGCTGTCAGGCCTACAGCTTTAGAGATACAGAAAAATGTTTCAGACATAAAAGGTGTGGAATAACAAGGGCTACAAAACTGCTATTTCGGTTTTTCGAATTTTTTGGATTTTAGCCCCCAAAAATCAAAAAATAGATTTTTTGAATATAATATCAAAAAAAAATCCAAAAAGTTTTTTGAATTTCGAAAAAAACCGGAATATATGTGATAGCCCCTACCGCCTTCTATCTACATACCAAATTTGAGATCGATACCTCTTTTTTTGGCCAAGTTATAGCGAAAAAACTGTTCAAAATTGATGACGTCAAATTTTCAAACTCAATTTTTAGCAATTCTAGACCTCGTAGCGCAAAACAAAGACCACCATTAGACTCCCCGTGACGAGCTGCATCGAATCGATACCCATTTTATGCAAAAATATCAACTTTGAAATTTGACCTTTTTTTGACCTGACCTTGACCTGACCTCCACCAGAAAGTGACCTAAACCGTACCCGATGGTCTTATAACCAACACCATTGAGTTGGAAATGAAAAACTGGCCATAAAACATGCATCGCATAACCTTAGTAAAGTTGGGCTCATGTGGTGACCCTTGGTGACCTTTGGTGACCTGACCTGTGACCTGACCTGGTATGACCAGTGACCTCTAATAGCAACATAGGTACTAGACAACTGACGCCTTATCGCTGATTTTCGACAAAATGCGTTTTACTCGGTGTTATAGCGCTTTCCCTAGAAGCCCCGTGAACGGTGAAACATTTTATCTTTGACCTGACCTGTGACGTCATCGGTGACCCCGAGGTCAATGAAATTTGGTTTCCTGCGACAAATTTGGCAGGGCTATCGAACGCCGTTTGAATTTTCCGGATCCGTCCAGTAGTTTCGGAGATACGGGGGGGGGGGGGCAAAAAAGTGCCCCCCCCCCACCGCGCGGAAGGTGGCTGGTAGGCCCACCGCCTGCCGGGTTAAGACAGAGGGGGCCCACTAATGGTCAGTGCCCTAACCCTCAAAAGTTTCCAACATTAATTTTTACTTTTTTAATAGTGAAAACTGAAATAAAGCGGATACTGAACTGTGAACATCCAGTTTTTACACTGGCCCCACACAAGCCTCCGAATGCCCAATGCAGATCTCTGATGACTGGCCTTTGGGTGTCATACCATACCGTGCATTGGTCAATGTCGTCAATGTGTACGACCTTGGCGTTTACCATTTTATGCGCTGGAAACTGTTGCGCTCGAATAAATCAGGGGAGTGGCTTATTATATGAGCGCTCATCAGTCCTAACTACCCGTAAGCGAATGGCTAGCCCTTCCATCTCCGCTCGCTTGCGATTTGGCATTTATGTAGGTACAAAATAGAGGCAAACGACCACTAAAGGTATGAGTTGCGTCTCTTGCACACTATAAATCGAATCTGAAAAGACAAAAACAAAATGATATAAAGCGGAAATGGTTAGTTATTCAAAAGGCACCTTTGGACAAACTGTGGGAGCGCATAGCTGCAATATCAGGTTATGGAAATTTTCCTCATGTTTAGGGCACAAATTATGGAGGGGCAAGAATATACGTTTGCCCCTCCTCCAAAAGTTTCTTAGGGAACGATGCCTCCTCTGCCACCCAGTAGGTATAGGTCGCCCCTGTAAGCGGTCACTGAAGGCCTGGGTTTCCGCTGCGTCACGTTGACGCTTATATGCCTCCAAAACTAGGTTGAAGAGAGGAAAACTTCAATTGAACGTGAACGCTTGCCATTTAAGAAAGGCAACGTATGATAAAGTATATGGGCATCTGGTTACATCTTCAGATGATCGAACAGAATAATCAGGTACATGGTTTCTTGTCTAAGCTTTGTCACAAATTATGGGGGGGGCAAAAAGATACTTTTGCCCCCCCACGAGTTTGCCAGGGGGGGCAGCTTGCCCCCCCGAATCCGCCGCCCCTGGTCTCGGCTCCAAAGCCAAACCGGCGTGGAATTGGGAGCGTTCGAGCACTCATGGTCCAGCGCAATTCTCCACCTAAATCCATTCCTGATACACATTTGCTTGCTCATAGTCATGTAACCCCGGTAAATTCACCCAACTTTCATATTGGTCGCTCCATAGACAGATGGCCACAGAGATCAACTTAAAAGGCCATTGTTGCATTCATTTAGTGGAGATCATTAAAGAGCCGTGACAGGCCACAAGTCGCGTGACATCATACGTGTAACGACCAATGACGACGGCCTGCAAAACCCAATGGAAGCGGCTAGCAGCGTGCAATAAAACAGGGCGCTGCTTTCTAAATGTCTGTCGTGCGCCATAAATGAATATATTCTTTGTAGCCTGGCAACTCAGTATCTTTTTTTTAACTATTGTACTAGTATTTAATAATTTCATAATTTTATAATTGTGCTTACGCTTTATGTTGATATTAGTGATAAATCCTTAGATAAAGTAAATCGATGTGATATTTAATAGAAAAATAGCAAACTAACGCACCATTCATTCGAAAGCTGGGGAACCTACTAAAAAGAACTACTAAAATTCCTGAGGAACCAAAGGATCAAATGGGGATTAAATAGATGCCTGCTATTCCGTCGTGAAAACGGCCAATATGAAGTTATATGAGAGCTATGCTGTGAACTGTGACTCAGCTACACAAATGGCTCTCTGAGCTACACCCACCCTTAAAATTTGCAGTCTGTTGATATGTATATGATACACTTGGTCCCAGCAGTGAAGAGACGGCCTTTTCCAGTCCGTGTGGTCGACCAGCGTGTCGTCAATCCGGAGAACGGCCATCACCACATCTGAAATCAAAACAGGCCATCGAGGGGGCTGGTAGGCTCTTTAATTTATACCGATTCGTGCTGTCTGTAAATATTTTCTGGGTACGATGGGTTAATGTTAAGCATCGAAAACGTAGCTATGAAAACACACGCAATGGCTGGACTAGAGCGGCATGGGAACGTAAGCTGACTTTTTCCTGATGAAAATACGCGCTAAGACAATTATTACACAAGCGACATCATCATCATCAATCAGTTTATCAATTACACATTACAAGATATGTAAATAAACTTGTCGCAGACCGACGCATAAGCGCATTCGCTTAAATTGGAGCGTCGTGTCTGAAAACAAACTAATTAAATAAAAATACACGAAACAAAAGAAACATCAATAGACAGACAGGAAACATAATGACTGTATCATGGCATATAATCGTTATTCTTTCTTAGAAGTAATTGAGAGACCGACTCACCGTGCCTCCTGTTCCGTTTTCTGGCTGCTGTTCGGTCCGGGGACTTGTCGTCTCCGTCGGATAAGTCTTCCAGTAGTCCCTGACACCCCTGCAGCCTGCCGATCACAGCGGATCAGGACCGGGCACGGCAACTGTGCTAAGAGTTAATAAAAATGTTATAAAGGCACGAAAATAAACATTAAATTTTAAGCAAAACTATTTTAGAAAAACATAAAAAACGTTTCCACCAGCATAAAACTTCTTGCCACCGTGCATAACCTAAACTAAAAGTGAATGCAATTTTGGTTTGTTTCGCAATTTCATGGACTTCGAAGGTCGGTTAGGTATACAATTTCAAACCTTCGTGTTTTTAAGTGTACGTACCAATTATGTGCAAAGAATGCCTGCCTACCTGAGCTGAAGCAAAGAGGCAGGTGTGATTCCTCTACTGGAGTGGCGACTGGAGCATGTCGAATCCTCCTCAGGGCAGACGGCATTTGAATTATTCTCACTAACACTGCTCCTCGGCGGAGCCTTTTGAGATCGAACACCACTCTGCACTACATCTGTGAGGAAACACATAAAACACAGTCTGAGATGAGGTTTGCTGACTAACGAAAATGAGTGGTAAAAATTATGAGCTGGATTGATGGGAAGAGATAGCAAAAAAAAATCATTTTACCACGCCATAAGAGCAAGTTAGAACATTTCTGCATTGTCTGCATGTAACTAAATGAGAAGAAAAAAATGCGAGAAGATGAACAACGTATACTCACTTGGTGTTAGAGCTTCTAACGGTGAATTCGAATCGTTAGGCAGACTGCTGCTGCTTTTAAACGTCGCTTGAGTGACTTGAGTCTGAAATGAGCAAAATCATCAATCAATATAGGACAATATTGTTTGTTTGCACATCCGGACGAGTGGATCAATTAAATATTTGCCAGACATTACAAAAAAACATTTTATGAAAATGTGTATAGCGGAATTTGAGAGGATATGGACATGTAGCGTGTCTGGTGCCGTGACTGTCCCGCCCGGTGGGAAGCAATGGACAACGCAAGGGAAGGAGAGGACCCCTGTGTGGAAGGACGATGCCCCTCAACATAGTAAATTATCGTTTGTTGACATGATATTGATCGTATACAGCAATACCTCATAAGACCCTGAAACATGCTCCTCAGCATAGTAAGTTATCGTTTGTTGACATGATATTGATCGTAGCAGCAATACCTCATAAGACCCTGAAATAAGCAGTATCGTACGCAAGGCATTGGAATCGTTTAAGTTCTTTTTTCTTAATTATTTAAGTGAGATTGCTAATTGTTTGGTTTGGACCGAATGAGACCTCGAATTCCTCTCCAGTTTCTGATGATTCACTAGGGCTGCTATTAATTAATGAAGGGAATTAAGTGCTATGACGTCACACCCACACATAAATGGGTGACTACCGGGTTCGGTTCTTCCCGTCTCGCATAACGCAATCGCTTCATTTGACTCCCGAGAGCGTTGAAATCAATCACACTTGTCTTTGAGCACGCGCCACGCACCCAACGCACACACGCAGCCATCAATTTATTTAGACAGAACATGGGTGTGAGTGCCATTTTCAGCTCTACACCAGCCTGCTGTGCTGCCGGTCCCCAGCGATGGCTGATTGCACGCCAGTCGATTCGGCTGGCGGCCAAAGATTGCAGAGGGGTCGGCCTATCACAGGGTGTCGGCCGACTAACCTGAAAAATTCCTGCCCGACGTCCTAGGTCCAAACAGCGCGCCAGACACGACCGGCTAACTTTAGCCGCGGGCAGCATCAGCACAGGTGGAGTCTGACACGGCGATCGGCGTGAGTCACACGAAAGACAAATGGAAAACTGGAAAGTGGCGACCGGTGAAGGGAACCATTCCACCTCTGCCGAAAAAACTGGATCAATCGATTGAATATTCACTCAGTTGATGCCCAAAGTCCCAACATCAGCTCAGTTTTTGGATGAACGTAAATATTATATTATAAAGTCTTGAGTGTTTGCCTTAAATTACTTTAATGCCAGCGAGCTACAAGCGTAGACCACATCACCCCGGGCCACGCCACGCCGCAGAGGTGATTTGTTTTCGTAGCGGACGCCGTTGGCCCACCATCATCCACGAGTTAAACAGACCATGATTCCGTCGTCGCCACGTAAACAGAGACGACGGGAGACGAGTCTCGTGCCGGGAGAGAGCCGAAAACGCTGGGACCGGGAAACACCGGTGACTTGAAAACTGTTTCACCTTAACTTTATAATTGTAATTTTCTAAGTATTTCGCTCAATGGCGCTCGAATCAACTGAGCGATATCTTTTACATCTGTCAATGCTGCCAATTTATTCATAATATTCGAATTCGATCTGTTCACCAGTTCCGGCAATTCTCTGCTCCCTGACTTTTTTGCAGCTGGGGAGCTTCTGTTACCCTCCGGAAGCCATGTGACTGAGATGCCAAATCCGTAGCCGAGAAATTACAACTGTCAGCGAGACATCCCTGAATGACGACTCAGCACTGCTGCATAGCGCGACGAAATTATTTCCTATTCCGCTGTAAATCTACAGTCTTACTTCACCGGTTGCCATTCTCACTTTTTACGTCCACTGCAACGCCATGGTTCCCCAGAAGGCCGCACCCTCAAGGTGTGAGTGTCAGCAATCCATCAGTCATCTCGACACCCCGCGGCGCTGGTGAACTGCCTGGTCGGACGTACCCCCCCCCCCCCTGACAGCAGGGCCCCCTGCCAGTCTGTCAGTTTCCCGGTCTAACCGTGATGCATCAGTGTCGGTCAGGGGTGCCAGGGGTGATGGTCAGGGGTGATAGGGATGTCGGACAGGGGCGCCAGGGGTGTTGGTCGGCGTCGCAGATCTTCACTCACTACAGACGAGAGTCCAGAGCTGGACACCAGCCAATCAGACAAAACGCATGAGCCTAGCTGCAGAATATCTTGGAGTTGGGGAAAGAGTTCACGGTCTGTAATACCTGGGCTGAAAAAAAAACTAAATAGCTGAATCTCTGGGCACGCTGAGCACCACTATCTAGATTATTGATTCGGAGTGAGCTATTTCAGTCAGCCGCCTGGCAATTGTTGAGATTGGCGCAGCCTATGGCTTTCAGTGGTAGAACTTCATCGGGACAGTTTGCTTTAGAGTCACCTTTGATTCGCGATAAGGGTTATGGATTTCCAGCGAAGGAACGGAAGGTCGCGCACTGCTCGTTATTGGTATTTAGTACATATTATGTAAAACAATACTTAAATTAAGTACGCACATGCATGCAAAAAAAAGAGAAAAATACCGAAATAGCTGGCCACTCTCTATGCCTAAGAACAGTTGAGCTCTTCGCCTGCCACCATAACTGCCAACTGCCAATCAACTGTCTATAACTGTTCCGCGTCACGTGAGCCGTGAGCCCATGTCAGAACGGTTTTCCACCGGTTGGTTGGTTGCCAATGGACTGTTCTCAGGGTGCTTCGTTACTGTCACTATTTGTGGGCAGCAGGGCCGCATTCCCGGGCATTCTCCGACATAGGCTGGCTAATAGGAAGCGTCAAAATGTGCTGCAAGTATAGGGTCAGTCAGAAAATGTTGCTAGTCAAGCGACCTTTTGTTTACGAGCTCGCTTTGTTTATCATGTTTGCAGAACATTTCTAGGATCAATACTTTTCCATACCATATAAGACATTGATAAATATTTGTCTCTCTTCTGCCTTCCACCCATTGACTGGTGAGTGGCGACTTAGTGACTGGCTCATCGTGGCGCGGTGTCCGGGGAGTGTGTTTGATGCCATGGCCTCCGGGCCGGGCCGCCGCCTGACGCCACTACACGGCTCGGAGCCAGATCTATAGCAGCATCTGATGTCTGATGAAAGGACCGGCCAGTCTGCTGGCCTGGTGAGTACGAGCGGCGACTGGACAGGGCGCTGAGTTCAGTCGGTCAATCATCGATTCCAGTTAACCCGCGAAAGGGGCCGCTGAGTGACTTTGGACCTCTTTAATCTATTCCACGATTGGGTTAGATTTAGCTTTCCAAGCGAACCGCGCGAATTCCGACGCTTCGTCCAACCCAAATATAGAAATTGTTTATGGATCGTTTTTACTTTTTATAGAACTGCGCATGCAGGCTACAGGAATGTGTGTGAATTTTTGATTCTTTTCTAAGACTGGAAATAAACATGTTGATGAATATACCTAAATGCAAATATTTTATCGTAGACGAAGCATATCAGTCATGCAAGTAGACAAAAGATCACTTGAATGCAGTGTGGTTTGCTTATGCAACTTATTTCCAGGTAGGGAAAAAATAGCAGCGTCTGTGTCAAACCATGCCACCAAATAGCATTGTGCCTCCTAAGAAGCAAAAATGCAGCGTGAACGTATTAGATTGGGATACTTAAATTCACTAGTTGCTACTTTGCTCAAATTAAGCCAGCAACAAAAGTAGAATCATAGCTTATCAAACGACTCTAAATAGCCGACCAATTAGAGCAGTCTTACCTACTTGGTCCTCAGCTGCAGCGGCCACCTTCTCCAGGGCTATCCTCTGGCGCTCTGTCGACCCTCCTCCACTCTCTCCGTCCACTCCTCTGCTCTGTCCTCCGTTGACCCGGTCGTTCGCTGACCGCCCTCCGCTCCTGGCGTCATCTCCTTCACTATCAGCGGGCCGCGCGGGGTCTGTCCGGAGCGGGGGCCGGCCCTCGGTCGGTGCCGGAGGGGTGTCGGGCAGCGGCCGGTGGCCCGGTCTCTCCAGGGTGTGCGGCAGGGGCCGGCCCGGCGGCGCCACCCGGCCGCTCTCCACATACGACTCGCTCATCGCTCGGCTCCTCATGCCGCGCTGCTCGCAGTGAGCCACGCAGCTGCTGCACGAGCAGGCCGGGTTCTTGGGCGGACCGACGTGGTGGCCGGGTCGGCGCAACGGCACCAGGAACTGCTGGAAGACGTTCGGAATCCGCAGCCGGCCCGGGGAGAAGTTGGAGCGCGGCGGCTGCACTGGGGTCACCGTCAGGTGGGGCACCGTCTGCTCAGAGGCGGCGGGACTCTGCCAGGGGGCTGACGGCGGAACCGTCTCCGGGGTCGGGGGATCGGCCGCCGTGCGAACACGCACCGTGTCGTGCCGCTCACACCAGCCAGTCGGGGCCGGCGAGGGTGTCGACGACTCTGGGTCCGGTGCCGGCCGACGTCCTCCAAGTCGCACAAAGCCCCCGAGCCCTTCAAGAGTATCTGGACGTCCAGTGCTTTCGGAAGCTGCAACACTTTCAGGTTGTCCGGATGCTGTAGAACCAGATAGACCTCCGAGTCCCCCAAGAAGTCGGCGTTCGAGGTCGGGGGAACGCCATGTCTTGGTGCCGTCTTGAGGTGAAGACTCCGAGTCACTGTCCCGCCACGTGACCGCCGACTCGCAGCAGCTGATGTCCACAGACTCAGTGACATCACGGGGAGACACGGTGAGGTCACGCGGCGAGTCGGAGTCGTCCGAGTCAGAATCATCGGCTGCCGTGGGTGTGAGTCGATCTGCGCGGCAGTCGTGATGGTGAACGCGATCAGCGCTGGCAGCCCTCCGCCGGCGCTGCAGGGCGCGGGGTAGGGACCTACGCGCGCGGCGGTGTATCACTCGATACTGGCCCGTCTCGAACACGGTCTGGGGAGTGGAGGTGCCGCCGCTGGCGCCTCCAGAGTCACCGCTCTCACTGCCGCTGTCGTCTGCCTCTGAACCAGTGCAGTACACGTCTATGTGGACAGTCCTCCCGTGAGCCTGGTACCGGGCATGCCGCGACTCCCTCCACCGACTCCTGCCGGAATGTGATGACGTCCGCGATGTTGCTGGCGGCTGGATCGGGTGACTCATGTTGTACACCGCCTGACCCATCCTCGGCTGGGCGGGCTTGTTCGAGCGCGAATGGAGATGGTCGTAGAAGCGGTCCAGGATCGTCCTGGCGTTGGGCCGAGATGACCCTGTGCTGGTGGTCCGTCCGCAGCCGCCGCAGAGCAGCGGGCGGATGCTGCGGCAGGTGCATAGCGACGTCTCTGAGAATCGCTCCGGGGAGCCGTCACTGGCGTGCACCTCCTGGGAGACAGAGCTGTGCTCGGAAACGGTCCGACGACGAGATTCGGCTGAGAGGCCGCCTCCTCTTCGGCTGTCAGCGAGCGACCGGGCACGGTGTGCCAGGTCCCCGCGTCCGCGCCTGTCCCGTGAGTGAGATCTGGCTCCGTCACAGCCTTGGCAGTAGTGTGAGCTGTTGTTGCCAGAGCTGTGGCGAGAAGAGTTTTGGCCCTCCCTCTGGACGGAGGAGTGCTCAGAGCGTCCCTGAGACCGCGATCTTGTCGAAGAGCCTCGGCCATTTTGATGAGCACGTCTCTCAGAAGAGGGTTTGCTGCGTTGGGAGCTTTGTGATGCCTTCGAGGGGCTTCCGTGTTTTGCGCGTCCTTTGTTTCTGTCAGCACAGTCATTGTTTATTTGGGGTTCATTACCCTGACGTTGTTCTGATGCCTCAGTTTTTCTTGCTAAGACCCGTTGAGTTTCTTGGGTGGCAGGCCTTTGCGTTTCACGTTGTCTTCCATCTGGCATGTTACAAGTCCTTTGAACCGTATCACGATTTGCATCTGCCCTCTCTTCCTGCAGTTGACTTCTCCCCTCTCCTCTTCTGTACTGCACGATGCTCGACGTCTCCCCAGTCAGCCCATGCAGGGAGTTTGGCCTCTGCCGTTCTTGTTCCGATGGCCGGGGTGTTGGTGACTTGCCGTGTATGCTGTAGCTGCGTCTGACGTTCACCCGCTCCGGGCCCGCAGCCGGCGGCTCGGCCGGCTCCAGGACGATGCTGCAGCTGCTGCGGCAGCGGCCGTGCTGCTGCTGGGTGCTGCTGGCCCGGCTGCTGCCGCCGCGGGGACCGGCTGCTGAGGTTCTGTCGCAGCCCGGAGAGGCCGCGGACCAGGTGGAGGTCCTCTGGGGAGGGCCGCTGCACGGGTCACGGTCCAGACGAGCTCGAGGCCGGCCCATGTCTGAGACCGTCCTGCCGTAATGCTGCTGCCTCTGTGGCTGGCACTGCTGCCACTGCTGCTCGAACGGCTGCTGAGGGTGGTTCGGCGGGTGACTTTGTTGACGTAGCCCCTGCTGCTGCTGCTGCTGCTGCTGCTGCTGTGTCAGTGTGTGCAGACTGGGACTGCTGCTCCATGAGCAGTGCAGACGCACCGAGTTGTCCGGTCCGTAACTAACCCGCACATCAGGCCTCACCCCTGCCGCCGCCTCGGGTCCCTGCCGTCCCGCCGCCGCTGCGCTGTGCGAGGTCCCTGCCGGAGTGAAACTGTGTGACGCCCGCACTCCGCCACCTCCTCCGAAGCAGATGTCGGCGGATACCGACCACTGGTGGCACGGCCGACCGGTCTGCGGAGTCCTCGGCTCCATCGCGCGCTGCCGTCCCTCTCCGTCGCCCGCGACACCGCCACTGAGTCGCCCCCGACGGGGAGAGGGGCGGAGACGGCAGGGGCCAGCGGTCGGGTGCCAGGCCGCCCGCGACGTAAAAATACACCGTGCTCCAGCCGACGAGTCCGCCGCGCGGCACCGGGTCAGCCGGGCCAGGGTCGGTGCAGTGGGCGGGTTAGGAGGAATCCTTTCCAGACGCGTGGGCGGCTGGCGCGGGCGGCGACGCGCCCTTCGTGACCTCACGGCCCAGAGATGAGAGAGGGGTGCCATTCGTAGGTTAGCTCGGTTGAAGGCTTTAGAAACCTGCCGCTTGGTTAGGGCTATAGTAAACAGGCATCGGTAAAATCCTTATTGAAAGGATTGCATTCCCAATCCACATTCCTAGTGCCGAAGTGGATTGCATTCCTACCCGCAATCCCCCTTTTTCACTTGGATTGTGATCAAATCCGCAATCCTTTTTGCAATCCTGTTGTATTATTATGTGCACTTGTGGATCTGGGGGAGGGAGGGGGCATAGGGCCGTGCCTCCATCCCCAAATCACCCATTTCTAGTACCTAGTCTTGCAAGTTATTCCTATCTAAGGCACAGGTATTTTATGGGAAATATTTTTTGCCTCAAACACCCCCACATTTAAACCTCTACCCAGCCAGTGTTTTATATTTTTAAAACTCGCCCTCAAATACGCAATTTCGCCCTTCCTATCTAGTTCATCAGCGTATATTATTTTGAGCGTTTAAATTAAAAGCATTTAAATCATTTCAAGTTTCGACGTTGTCGTACTGCGCCGTGGGTAGCGCGTGGCTGGACGGACGGTCTGTGACAATCTATTTGATCTGTGGCTGATCTATTAGAGTGTCCGTCCGAGAGCCGTACGACGGCTGACAGAGCCTGGGGGTCGCGAACTGGTGTGGTAACCGTTACGCCCACCTGGGACGCCCGAGTCGGTACGGCACTTGCGGTGTCGTAACCGGATCGGCGGGAACCAGCAGAACGCTGTTGGACCGGCGGTGAAAGTCGGAACCGAGCACTCGCCCACCAGTGGGGCGTCTGGTCGAGCAGGTCTACCCGCTAAGGCAGCCTGAGCACGAACCAGTGGCAGGGTCCGATCAATGACCGTGGTCCGACCAGGGTGTCAGCGCAATGGCCAGTCAGAGGCGTCTTTAAGGGCGCAGAAGCCCACCTCGGTCGACTGTGGCCGGTGCAACCTAGTCAGGTCGTTTGTGTGAATCTCCGTGTTCTTCCCTCGCCTCAGAGTAGCCGCTCTTCTCCAAATGCCCGAGCCGTTTTCTATGTGTATTTGTCTTGTAGCGAACAGCAGAGTCGAGAAACGAATTGACAATGTCGCCGAAAGCCGCGGTCATATGCTGGCCGTCCCTAGTACTACCAATATGCCCGCAGGCGCGGCGAGAAACAAGCTTAACGTATGAGTCACCGTCCGGCTGCCGGGAGAGCCCCTACCGCGACCTTTGTTCACAGGCATGACGTCACGACAATGGGTTCGTAAACGTACGGGCAGCGGCCGCCTCAGGGGTGCCGCCGTGACCTTTGCGCGACACGTTCTATAGCGTATGGCACAGCGGTTACTAGAAAGGTTGAGGCCAGCGGCAGGCCGGTTTACAAATAACAAACAAACTTGACGCGCAATTGGCAACAGGTAACAGATTGATTAATAAAGCGGTGACAATATAAATGAAAATGACAACATGAAATGACAAATCGCATAGATGATCCCTACAGTACCCCCTCGCCAGACATGTCGCGGACAAAAGTGACATGGCGATATCTTACCGGAGGTCGTACGACGCGGCCGGAGCGGGTCGTTCGTAGTATCGGCCGAGGCTGCAATGGTGCAGCGTCAGCCCGAGCGACGGCTGCAGGGCGAGTTGGTGCGTCACCGTAGATCAGAAGCTCCGGGCCGCTGGGCTCATTGCTGAGCGGTGGCGCGGCCGGCGGACCGCTGGACTGAGTACCGTGCGGCTGCACAGTCGGCAGGTCAGACTGTCGATGACCGGATTCGTCTGGCGTCTCCAGGAAGGCGGCCTTACACCGGTCGATGCTGATGACCTCCTTTTTCTGTCGACGGTCGATGGTGATGGTTTTGGTGGTCCTTTCGGTAACCGGGAACGGTCCGTCGTATGGAGCGTCCAGCGGGTAGCGGTGACAGTCCCTGCGCACGAAGACGTGTGTCGCCGTCTGGAGTGCCGTCGGGACGTACGTGGCGCGCTGGACCGGACGTGGGAGTGTCGGCCGCACCTGAGACATGGCGCGCTTCAGGTCCTGTACGAAGCCGGCCGGTGATGCTGCTGAGGCTTGGCTGCTGATGAAGAACTCGCCGGGAAGCCGCAGTGATGAGCCGTACACCAGCTCGGCTGACGTCGCCTGCAGGTCCGCCTTGATGGTGGAGCGTATGCCCAGGAGCACGAGCGGCAGCACGTCCGTCCATGACGTAGCCTGGTGTGCACGGAGGCTGGCCTTCAGCTGGCGATGCAGGCGTTCCACCATACCGTTGCAGGCCGGGTGGTAGGACGTCGTCCGAGTTCGCTGGCAGCCCAGGAATCGCTGTAGCTCCGACCAGAGGGCCGACTCGAACTGGGCGCCTCGGTCCGTCGTGATGATGGACGGAACGCCGAATCGGGCGACCCAGTGCTCGAGGAAGGCGCGGGCGACCGTGGTGGTGCGGATGTCCGGCAGAGGGATGACTTCTGGCCACCGAGTGAACCGGTCGACGCACGTCAGGAGGTACGAGTGCCCTCTTGACGGAGGCATCGGGCCGACGAGGTCCACGTGGACGTGGTCGAAGCGTTGCTGAGGTGGCTGGAAGGTGCCGACGTCAGACTTGGTGTGCCGGCCGATTTTGCAGCGCTGACAGGCGAGGCAGGTTCGGGTCCAGCGGCGCACGTCGCGATCCATACCGGGCCAGACGAACCGCTTAGAGATGAGCTTGACGGTGGCCTCGACGCCAGGGTGCGACAGGTCGTGCAGAGCCTTGGCGAAGGGCCGGCGCAGCGCCTCTGGGAGGACCGGCCGAGGCGATCCGGTGGACTCGTCGCAGAGCAGACGGAGTCCATCGCCGACCGGGATGTGGCGCAGGCGCAGTGAGGTGTCTGAGGTCTCGAGGTCTTCCAGCGAGCCGTCTTCAGACTGGGCCTTGGCGATGGCAGTGAAGTCGGCGAGCTGGGGTCGCGGCTGGGCCACCATCGAGACCGTGCGTGACAGCGTGTCGGCGACCACGTTGTCCTTGCCAGGGACGTGGCGGATGTCAGACACGAACTGGCCGATGTAGTCCAGGTGGCGGACCTCTCGTGGCGAGTAGCGGTCGGACGAGGAGCCGATGGCCGTTACCAGTGGTCGGTGGTCTGTGAAAATGATTGCTGACCGTCCTTCGATGGCGTGCTTGAAGTGCCGGACGGCCAGGTAGATAGCGAGCAGTTCGCGCCCGAACGTGCTGTATTTCTTCTCCGCTGGTTGGAGCGTTTTTGAGAAGAAAGCGAGGGGCTGCCACTCGCCGGCGACGTGCTGCTGGAGGACGGCGCCCACTCCGCAGTCCGAGGCGTCGACGAAGAGGGCGAGCGGCGCGTCCGGGACTTGGTGTGCGAGATGTGTCGCCGTGGCCAGGGCGTCCTTGACGTTCTTGAAACGCTGCCGCGCCGAGTCTGTCCACGTGACAGGCGCTCTCGAGCGTTTTGCCTTGTGGGTGATTAAGGCGTGCAGAGGCTGCAGGAGCTCGGCTGCCTGGGGGATGAAGCGGTGGTAGTAGGCTACCATCCCCAGGAACCTCCGTAGCTGGGACTGAGTGGTCGGTTCCGGGAAGTCTTTGATGGCCTCGACTCGTCCAGGCAGCGGGCGGACGCCGTCGGCGTCTACCGAGTGGCCGAGGAACACCACCTGCTCCTGTCCCAGGACGCACTTGTGCCTGTTGACGACGACGCCGTAGGTGTTGAGGCGCTGAAGCACTTGGTCCAGGAGTTGCAGGTGGTGTTCGGCAGTTGGGCTGGCCAGCAGGATGTCGTCCAGGTAGACGAAGCAGCCCGGTATGCCGCGGAGGACCTCATCCATGAAACGCTGGAAGGTCTGTCCGGCGTTTCTGAGGCCGAACGGCATCCGAACGCATTCGTAGAGGCCGAACGGTGTCGTGATGGCTGTCTTGGGGACGTCGGCAGGTTCCACCGGGATCTGGTGGTAAGCCTTCACCAAGTCAATGGTGCTGAAGACGGTGCACCCATGCAGGTCGGCTGAAAAGTCCCGCAGGTACGGCAGCGGGTAGCGGTCTGGTACGGTGCGGGCGTTCAGCGCTCTGTAGTCGCCACAAGGACGCCACTCGCCGGGTCTCTTCTTTGGCACCATGTGGAGTGGAGTTGTCCAGCTGCTGCTCGACGGTCGAATGATGCCTTGCTGGAGCATCTTGTTGAACTCAGCACGTGCGATTTGAAGGCGCTCCGGCGGGAGGCGTCGTGGCCGCTGGTACACCGGTGGACCCTTGGTGACGATGTGGTGCGTCACGTTGTGCTTCACCGGTGTTGGTCCAGGTTTTGGTGAGGTCACATCCGGGTACCGGGCGAGGACAGCTGCGAAGCGAGCAGCAGCCTGCTCCCGGACGAGACGCACTCCGATGGAGCACAGCCGTGACCGCTCGGCGCTGGCGCAGACGGTGCCGTCCCGCAGGAGACGCTGGTTGGCAACGTCCACGACGAGGTGATGTGCGGCCAGGAAGTCGGTGCCCAAGATGGGTGTGGTGACGTCGGTGACGAAGAATCGATGTTTTAGGCGGTGCTGCTGACTCAAGGTGACGTCCAGCAGGCAGGTGCCGTGCACCGCGATCGGTGAGCCGTTTGCCGCGACGAGCTGCTGGCCGACAGGAGCAGGGGTCAGCGTAGACCCGTTGGGCAGGCAGCGGCGAGGCAGCACGCTGACCTGCGCCCCGGTGTCGACTAGAAATTGCCGGTCCGTCTCCGTGTCCCTCACGAAGAGGAGTGGCGCGGCAGGAGGGGCGCCCGTGCTTTGCGCCATCAGCACGGGGCGCCTC